GACTTCTAGGGATACTAATCAATGCATATGAATAGCACAGTAGACTGAGAACTATATGGATGAGTGAATAAGTCTTGAAGTGAACTTGCTCTTTCTCAATCTCTGCACATTTAATGGTTATAAAAGTATCAAAAAAGATCTTGGATTTAAGGTGAGCATAGTGCTTACAAAAGGTGCCAGATTGACACAGACAAACTGAGGTTCTTTAGACTGTGGATTTTTGTATGTTTCTCTTATTTTATACCTGATACAGCTGTTGTAAGAAAAATATGTACAGTTTTTATGGGTGTGATATTCATTGAATATGAAGCAAACATTTTAATCAGAATTTTCCCACTCCTGTAAATATGGAAAGATTTTATTAGGGGCAAACACTGCAATCTTTAGAGCAAAGCCAGGTAGAAGCAATGAATTTTGTTGAATGTCATGGGCATTATTTACTCATTTACAGGCTTGCTGTTAGAATCTCAGCAGCTGTTTTATTGGAAAACTGCTATGTGCTTCTTTCAAATTGAGCCTTTGCATCAGGCTACATTGTTTACATCCTGTGCTGTTCTGTTTCTTTCTCCTACATTCTCAAGTTGCACCCTGACTTCACTTGAAGATTATGAGTATCTATCCAGGGAAAACATCTCCTTTTGGTGGCTCTACTGCAAGTGAACATTTTATGAGATCTGCATTTAGTTTAAACCTGTGCACCTACCTCCTATATTGTTTAAACATTTTCCAGCAGATAACATATACCAGCTGAAATAGTGTTTTTTTCCAAACTAAAATATTCCTGACTTTCACATAACTACATGATTTCAAGAACTTCCATAGCAACTTTTCCCCAGATATTGCAAACAGAGGCTATTAAGACTTCCACTACCAAGCCTCTGAAGAGTATCTTGCATGTGTTGCTACATTTCTAATTCATTGCCAATGCTAACCCATTTCATTTATGAAAGATACAAGAACAAGTATAGACCCCAGACTCGTTTTTGCCACTTACACACACTAATTTCTAAAAGTGCATTAGGAAATTAGTAAATACTAAAACTGTAGTTATGGTCACATTTTTAAAATGAGCTTCTTCATCTAGGCATGGATAGTATTATATTTGCACATACAAAATGGGCAGTTGTGTGCATAACATCCAATTTGCGGGCTCAGCCTTGCATTTAGACCTAGCTAACTATTTGCATGTGGAAATGTAGGGTTTGGTGCATTGACTCCGGCATGTTTTCAAATATCATGGACTGCACTGGAGACATTTTCCCTTCATTTTTAAGGGGAAAGGTTTAGAATTTTTTGAAACTGGGGGCATTGCATTCAGTATTTTTGAATCTTTCAGGTGTTCTGACTATAGGCTGCTTGGGGCAGGGAAAGACGTTTCTAGGGAGGTCTCGCTATATTTTTAGGTGACATACTGCATAGTGAAACTCCATATTCATAAATTACCTTGCTGCTGTTCATATTTCATAGCTCCGTTAGCTAATTTATGTGCCAGATATATAATAATAAATCATTAAATGCCATGAGATATGATGTTTGTTCTACATGCAACAGCACACCAATGAACAAAACGGCAGCAGTTTTTACTGATGCTAATGTCTAGCTACCTGGGATTTTATAATAAATATGAATCAGAAAAAGGCAGGATAAATCAGTTCCTGTACTGTCAGCTTGGCAGAGATGATTTATCTTACCTTTCTGACAAGGCTGGATTTGACTGCAAACCTCATACAGCTTGGCTTCTGCTTCAGATCACGCAAAGGCATTCCAGATGATGAAAAGCAGGGTGCTTAGAAAATAGCATGTAGTGTTGCCATATTTATATGGAAATATGTGAACTCTGAAGTGCTTTAGATTGTATCTCATGATAATTATTACATCTTACAATGAATCTACCTGAACCCATTTAAATTCCTTAACCCATATTTTAAACAAAAACAGTGTTCAAGTTTTTCCCCAAAATCTAAAATAATGTTTAGAGCAATCCAGTAGATGGGAAATATAAAGCTTTATCTAAAGTGGACATGTGGGTGATAAAATGCCCATTGCCCATGTTCACCTATGTCACTACTTTTAGAAATGGAATGGCATTACCCACTGGGTACATAGTGAGGTGGAAGCACAGCGCTCCTTCTACCTGTTATTTAGAGATACTTTTCTAGGTGGGTAAATATCTTAGACAACGCTGTTCCAATAATTAGGTTTTGCTGTGTTGCTGGTGGGCTCCTGACAATGATGCCTGCAGCAAACTTCAATACTTGAAATAGGTTCTGCAGCTAAGCAACTGCCCTGAACAGAGGGTGGAATAGGAACCATGGTGTCAGGCTTCGTGCCTGTGTTTGTGTATGGGTGGCTGTGTAACTATAATACTGTGGCTCATTTGGAAGATGTGCTCATATTGGAAACTGTTATGTACGTGCCAACGTATAGATGACAGATTGGTGCAATATGATCTCTCACACGTTTTGTTATGTAATGTAATTTGAAATGTATTTATACTCGATCTGTAATGCTTTTAGTTGGCTCCTCTTATACTGTATATGTGGTTTTGAATATTTGTTTAAAGCTAGTTATGTAGAAATCCATTTCTGTGTTGGAAGTTTAATAAAAAAACAATAAAGAATACTTTAATGTGCTGGTTTCATTATTTTAATAATATTTCTAAGGCAAAGCTTGAATGGGGGCATTGTTGATGAACTATCCAAGTTTCCATCCCTGATATGCAGGAAGAGACAAGCAGAAATCATATACCCACCAGCCACTTAAAAAAAAATGGGGAAAATGCATTAGGCCAGAATCACTGGAAAGCTCTGTGCCCCACTCCAGCAACACAAAGCAGACATAAACCCAGTTGGCAGTGGCATAATGCAACTGGTGTGTACTAGAAAAATTCTGCCCCAATAGATTTATTGCCAATAATTTATAATCGAGACAAACACTTAAGTGCTTTTAACAACGACATTATAGAATAATGCACAATAAAGCACTGATAGCGGCCTTCAATCTTTCTCTCAATACCTTTTTAAATATCCCCTATTCCCCAAAGTATATGAGGCAAAATAAGATGGGCCCCAATTTTCTCATACATGACTAGAAGGATCATAAAAATAAATGCCTTTCCTTTTTCTGTATAGTGTTAATAATGAGATGCCCCTAGAAAAGGGTACTTCTTGGCCATCAGTGGCTTGTGATACTTTCATCCCTTAGAAGAGGAATTCAAGGTTCACAATATTGCACTGCAGAATCAATTGATTTGCTCACATCTTCCATCCAGCTGTGTGGTTTGACTTTGTAATCCAATTGGCTGTTTATTGGATCATTTTCACTGAAATATCAGTGTTAAGCCAGTTTTGCCACACTGAATATGCCATTGTTTTTGCAGAAAAAAAATAGCTGTGGCCAGAAATAAGGATGCTTGTTATAATCTTAAATTATCAAGCAATAATGGCCCAACAACCTTTTGTATCGATAATTTTAATAAAAGGGAAATACTAATAAAGAGCCAAAACAGTGGTGAGTACATGTTCAAAGGCCGGCAGGTAAACCTGCATTTTACCTCTTCAGTAATATTTAATAAAAATGATTAAAATAAACAACTTTATGCTTAGTTTCACTAAATGATTTTGTTTAATTTTAAGTGAAACGTCCAGCAATGACATTACTGCATAGGAAGGTTCACACTGGCTGTGAATAATTTTGGGAGATACTACAAACACCAGTTGGTGATGGGGTATTGTTTGCACCTGTTCATCTCTACCAATAATGAACTGTACCAGCTTCTGGTGAATTTACTAAATATACTAAATCATGCACAAAATGTAGGCCTGGGATTCTGAACTTGGTGCAACCTGACTCAAGATGGCAGAGCAAATTAAAAAGGAGTAAAGGTCCAAAACGCATGGGTTTTTGTGTGAATAGTTAGGGCCAAATTTTCAAGCCACATAAATGTGCTCATGAATTTTACTCATACAAATGGAGCACGCACAAAAAGTAAATGTGCATATCAGGTAATTGTGAGCCTACCTACTGGATGCAGAAATCCAAACTCTATTTCATATATATAGCTGTGGATGCATGTACACAAATTCTGAGGCCCATTTGAAAATTTGGCCCTTAGGGCCCTACCAAATTCACGGTCCATTATGGTCAATTTCACAGTCATAGGATTTTAAAATTGTAAATTTCATGATTTCTGCTATTTAAATCTGAAATGAGTTGGAGGGGCGCTGTTGCAAGGTTATTGGAGAGGGGGGGTTGCTGTATTGCCACCCTAACTTCAGCAGCACCGAAGTAAGGGTGGCAATACCATACCATGCCCTCCTTCATTCTGCATTGCTGCTGGCGGCAGTGCTGCCTTCAGAGCTGGGCAGTTGGAGAGCAGTGGCTGCTGGTCAGGAGCCCAGTTCTGAAGGCACAGCCGCCGCTAGCAGCAGCGCAGAAGTAAGGATGGCATGGTATGGTATTGCCATCCTTACTTCAGCGCTGTTGCCTGCAGAACTGGGCCCTCAGTTAGCAGCTGCCACTCTCTGGCCACCCAGGTCTGAAGTCAGCCATGGAGAAGTAAGGGTAGCATGGTAAGGAATTGCTGCTCTTACTTCTGCGCTGCTTTTGTGCTCTTACTTCTAAGCCAGCTCTGAAGGCAGCGCAGAAGTAAGGGTGGCAATACTGCAGCCCGCCCCCAATAACCTTGTGACACCCCCCTCAACTCCCTTTTGGGTCAGGACCCCCAATTTGAGAAACGCTGGTGTTCCCTGTTAAATCTGTTTAGTATAGGATAAAAAGGATACAAAAGACCAGATTTCACTGTCGTGATGTGATTTTCATGGCCGTGAATTTGGTAGGTCCCTAGTAATATACCTATTTATCTACATTTTTTCCAGTGTAGTACAGTGCAATAAGTTTTGTATGCTGTATGTGTACAATATTTATCATATTTTTCAACATTAGCAAATACTGTGTGACAACCATCTGCTAACACCTCATTTCTTTATTTCATTTCACAGTTGAAATTAAAATGGATGAAATCAAGGACTGAACTGTTCAGGTAATGTAATAAGGGAGCTTTTTGACTCTAGATCATTGATTTGAATCCAGACTATGTTGGCAGCAACTGAAAGTCATTATACTACCTTCACAATTGGCACTAAGTGGCATCCATATGGTAGTTGCAGCAGAGACTGGCTGGCTATAGATGACCCGATCCAGCATATGCTTAGCTTTAAGCCTGTGAGTAATCCTATTGAAGTCAGTGGGAATTCTCACGTGCTTAATTTAAGATGTGTAAATGTTTTGCTAGATCAGAGCCAGAATCCTTACCAAATTACAACTAAAGCTAATCTTTCCAGAAAAGTATTGTGGCACATTGGCGGGGCAGCACTGCACAGTTTACCCTGCCACAGCTTGTGCTAACTGTGTTCTGGGCCTAAATCAGGCCGTCTGTCTCTAAGGTGATCAGTCTGGGCTCTTTCATGACTACTTATTTCATTTACAAATAATCAGAAGCAATAAAACAATTTCTGTAGGATAAGTGGCAGTGTTAGGAGGGCAACTGAAATATGGGTTTTGTATTAAATTCCTTTTCTTCCAAATCACATGCATGTTTCCAAAGTTCTGCTGTAAACATTTAAAAATAAAACACAATCCTCCAGGCTGCTATAAAACCTTGTTCTCCAGCAAAATTGGATGTGTGTGTGGAGGGACAGGGAGAGTTACAGTTGGAGGAAACGTACAAGTATCAGCATTCTGTACACTAATTGTGAACTGTAGGCTACTGTCTACAGGGAAATAGTGAATGAAATGCAGCTAGAGAACTATGCTGCCATAACTTGGGGTGAAGGCTCTGATATTAACGTCTTCACTGCTGGGAGGCTGCTTGAGTGTCTGTGCTGGGGCAGCAGCAGTCTGTTGCCACAGCAGTGAAATCAGAGTGGATGGTTCAATCCTGACAAACTGAGTGAAACTGGAGGTGTGATTTGTAAAGTAACAGCAATCCTGCACCCACTGAAGTCAATCAACTGACTTCAGAAAGTATAAAATCAGACCTTTACTTTCATTAGGTGGTGGCAATTTCTAAAGTGCACAGTCTTGGCTTAATTCAACTCTCAGTGGGAGCATTACTGTTGGATTCAAACAAAAGTCAAGGTAGGCCAATGTCGAACACTTTTGAAAATCCCACTCTTGATGCACATGCATCCAGCTCACTCAAGTTTGGATTCTTTCGGATTCTGTTGGGGGCTCTGAGTGTCCTTTATGCTTCCAGCTGAGGACACAAAGTCAGGGTGACCACAACTGCCTCTCATGGTCTGTCTACACTGCAGGAGCAGGTGTAATTGTAGCAAAGGTAGGCACACTCCGCCTGTAATCTATCTAACACAGATGACAATAATAATGAAGTAGGGAAGGTATCACTAGTTTGTTTTCTGGGTTCTAGATATTCAGGCCAGTAAACCCTAGAGAAGCAGTTGAGGGCTTATCCCTATTACCCTAGACACAGGAGCTTGAAAAGGGATAGTACTCCCTGGTATCCACCCCCTCTTCTCCTCAACCTTACAAAAGGATATTGCAGCTAGCCCAATTGGCTCCACTACCAGCTGACCAGACCAGTCGTGGTTCTGATGAGGAATCACAGGCAGAGGAAGACCGAATCCCAGCACCCATCTTATCTCTTGATGAGACTATGAGACCTGCAGCATCACCTCAACCCCTGATGAAAACAAAATGTCCCAGCACTGCTATGAAGAATGGCTGACACTGGAGATCCAAATGGAGGTGGTCCAGGAATAAAATCACACAAGCGCCTGAATATCTTTCACACATCTGTTCCTAAACATCTTGCAATGCCCATCAACAAGGGGTATGAAGATCTAGGTAAGTTGCTTTGGCAGACACCTGCTTCTTTGGCATCAACATAAAAAAAAAGCGGACTGTTACTACCAAATGATACCCCAGAGCTTCAAGCAATTTTACATTCACCCCATGTCTGGATCAATGGTTGTCTCAGTGGCTAAAACTAAAGCTAGACAAAGCCAGCAGAAAGCAACACCTTGAGACAAGGAGCCCCAGAAACCAGATTTATTTGGAAGGAAAAAAATGATTCTACATCAAGTCCTCAAATAAGAATCACCAATTACCAGGCCCTGTTGGCAAAATTATGATTATCTGAATTGGGACTCCATATCCAAGTTTGCAGACAAGCCTCTTCAAGATTTAGAGAAGAGTCTAAATCCTTGATTGCTGAAGGTTAAATTGTGGTCCACACATCTCTCCAGGTAGTCCTTGATGCTGCTGACACAGCTTCTAAATTCATGGCTACCTCAGTTGCCATGAGGTGGTAATCTTGGTTCCAGTCATCAAGGATCTCTAACAAAGTACAAATTACAGCTGATGATCTTCCATTTGAAGGATACGAAGCTTTCAGTGTGAATGCAGATGAAACTACACTCTTTGAAGGACTCTTGGGCAACACTATCTAGTACTAGTGTGTATGGTACTAATTCATTCCTTGCCATGTTTCATCATAACTATGGAAGCAAATTACTCAGAATAAATTATTTCATACGATTATCTCTTTTTTCTGCTAATAATATATCTGTGAACAGATTTTTGCTGCCTGGAATTTAGCTGTTATTTAAATTTATTTAATATCTTTTTGAATTTTTAAATTTGATAAACATTCTACATATGAACAGTGGTGCTTGTGATTGGTCAAATAAATCACATGATATAGTTTCTATTCCATGAATTGATTAGTATAATTCACTTTTTGTAAACATATGAGCAATTGGTTTGCTCAAATGGTCATAGAAAGTGAATTCACAAAGTTTTTGCATTAGTCATCCAGCTCTTGTCATGACATCTCGGTTTTAAATTTTTACTATAAAGTAACAAAGATAAATTTTCAAAAATGGCCACTGAATTTGGTTGCTTCTGTTTTTGGGTGTTCAGCTTGAGATATTTTGGCCCTGATTATCAGAGGAGCTACATACCAGCAGGCCTGTTGACTTTAAGTGGAGCATTAGATTCTCATTTTTCAAAATGAAGTTTAAGGTCTCAAAGTGCACACCCAAAAGCTGAGTCTGCTAACAGCACTTTTGAAAGTTTTGACTATACATTCTGTCATTCTAAGTTTAATCTGTGGGAAGTATTTCTGTTTGAAACTGAAAAAAATGAGACTAGTCTTTTACTAAGTAGTGTACTGGGTACAATTTATGCCTTGGTAATGTTCAGTAGACCAAAGGTTCATAGAATATCAGGGTTGGAAGGGACCTCAGGAGGTCATCCAGTCCAACCTCCTGCTTAAGGCAGGACTAATCCCCAGACAGATTTTTGTCTCAGATCCCTAAATGGCTCCCTCAAAGATTAAAGTCACAATGCTGGGTTTAGCAGGCCAATGCTCAAACCACTGAGCTATCCCTCCCCCCACTGAGCTATCTCAGTTGTCTGAGGTATAGGCATGATTATGGATTTTACATTAACTAGAAACTCCTTTCTCTTCATTCATAAAACTTAGGTCTGATCACTACCATAATACTCCTGCTTTTTTAATGTTTGTTTCTGTTGTTTCAGGAATTGATTACTGTAACTCTGTTTTAGCTGGTTTTGCCATATATTATAATGTGCCACATCTAATGGGTTTTCCAAGCAACAATTCCCATTCAGCTGATATGGTCCAGGAAATTTTATATCTCTTCAATTTTGTCTGGCCTTTATTATCTCCATGTTATCAATTGGTAATGTTTAGAATCCTGTCTGTGGTTTCCAGTTGTCTTTCTGTCAGAGATTCTCAGTAACATTCCAATTTGCTTAGTAAGTATCCTCCTTTCCTATTGTCTACAGGTTTTTCTTAGGTATTGCTGTATAGTGGAAGAACACCTTCTTTGGAAAAAAATTCATTGAGAAGGCCAACTTCTGTGTCTTCTAGCTTGATTTTAAACCCCATACAAATTTTCCTTCACAAACTATTATTCTTAAAATAATGTTTTATATTAACAATTTGAAAGGGCTTGATATTATGCTTTGTTAAAATCAGAACTTTTAATATTGTTGAATGTATTGTATGTTAATTTTTAGGCGTGCTAGTGATAATGTAGGATTCAGGCCTGTACTTCCGCCTGAGATAGAATTTTAGGTTTTGTTTGCCCGTTTGATTCTTGATACACTTATATTCTTACTAATATGTGTGAACAAAGGGATCCTAACTAATATGTGTAAACAAAGGACAAAGACACTGTGTATGTTGCTTCTGCCTAGCCAGATGTGTTTGTTAGTATAATGGGAACAGATAAGAACAGTTAAAGTATTACTGGGCATGGTGGAACTATACTTACAAGCACACACTTTAAGACTGCCTCAACTCCTATCTCATGGCAAGGTCAAGCAACCAGTTGGGAGGGGCAAGGAGGATTGGGGGGGGAGATATAAAACACTAAAAGGCCAAAGAAATGCCTGTCCTTGACCGTAGCACAACCACATTCCTTACCCCTCCCATGGGATACAAAAGAAGTGGGACAAAGACCCCAGACTCACAACCCCCAAAACAGAACATGACCATAAATTGTAAGGGGTGGGACCGAGGGCATGCATTTCAGATATAATTATGCCTTCTAAGGAGTGGGGGAGAATGGGACACTGGGAAACAAGGCTCTGCAGCGTCAGAGTCATGGACGTGCTTCCTGGAAACTAACAATAAACATTGCATTGCCAGCACCTCGGACTTCTGGTCTTCTGTTTTCTGTTTGCGTGACAAGACCCAGGGAAGAGGGTGAAGGGAAAGCCCTCTAACATTAATATTAAAAGTTTCCCACCCTGTTATTTTTATATACATAGATCTCTTTGGATCTGAATGTCTCTATACAATCTAATCCTTTGGCTTCTATGGCAAAAAGCATAGCAATTCACTGCAGAATGTACTGGTGTCAAAATTATTTGTAGATTCTAATAGGCATTGTGCAATAACAGCTTATAACAGAAAGCCTGTCCGGGTTCAGGAAATCTAGAGAAGTTATATGCAATGAATTAGAATTTGTCAGTATAAAGAAAAATCCCATAATATTGATGTTTAAATAGTTAACTTTTTTTTCATTTCTAGGTATAAACCATTTAATGGTGTATGGTATCATGTTTTCTTATGACTGAAAGATTCTAATAGTTCACTTTAGCATTTTCTCTCGATGTTGTATGACTGCCAGTTGGAACAGAGAAGAGGTGAAGCTCTACCAGGTCTGTTAACATGCTTAGGTCCCCCCCTCCCCAGTATATGTTTAAAAAAGAAAGCAAAGAAAATAAGGTATTTTTCCTTTTCTTTGGATGCCACCGTAGATCTCTGAAAACCGAGAAGTAACACACCAGCTATGTGCATCAGCTTTAAGGAAGTTGTTGTGACTTGAGGAAATGTGGGACATGTCATAGACAAGCCAAAGTACAATGTACACTACCTTGGAAACACATTGTAAACTACTACAAAAATAGATAGCATGTTAATGATCTGGCATTAACTGGCTATTTACTAAGATTTGCATCTCAGTAGGGCAAAATATAACTCTTTTGATGGATGTCTAAACATAAAGGAGACATCTGGGTGGGTGGTTCCTGATTTCATTTGAAGTGGAAGCTGTTTGCTCAAAGCTTGCTATATTTTTATATGCTTTGTATCATGACTACAGAATCTGCCATAGGTGTATCAGTGCTCTCTGTTTCCTTAAAATAGTGTCTAGTTTTAAACATTTTTCATTGGGTATATTTAACCAAAGAAAGCCCAATGCTGGTCTCTACAACTTGCGTTTGTCTTGACTTAGTTACAGATAACTTTTAAAATGGACTTCTTGCAATAACATACCTGATTGAGACTCCAGTATTTGGTTTGAGGCAATTTTTCACACTTAGGCCCTGATTGGCAGAGGACACTTCAAGATGTATGGGGGAGGAGGAGGTGAAGAGGTGGGGATTTCTCTTGGCTGAGGGAGGTGTGAATGGGCTGGGGGCAGAGCCTGGGGAGATGCATATATTACTGCAACTCCCTGGATAAGATACCATAGCTTCAGATGAATAAGTTGAAATATTTCAAATTTGGTGGGGGTAGGAGGCCCAACCTTGAAAAAATGGCAAAAGCTTTTGCAAATCCCCTTCTCTTTCTTTCTTGTTTTCATTATTTCCAACTCTGGGCTGTATTATCTTTTCTTTTGAGCCAGACTGCTAGGGCCCTGGGGATAGCTGCAACCAGGAGAAATGGGATGGAGTTGTACTGTCAGAGAAACGGGGAAGCCCCAACAGGGCAGAGCTGGTGTATAGTCACAGGGCCTCCATATACAATGATCTGGTCTCTCATAGATCCACCAGCTTTGGTCATGGTTCCTGTAGCCTTTCCTGCCCGAGAGTCTCTCCCTCAGATTGACTTCAGGAGGGAGATGATATTCTGACCTCTCCAATTTAGGCACACAAAGTAGAATCTGTCTGGAACTGGCAATATTATAATCACATATTAAAAATGTATGCAGACAGAGTTAAGATTGAAAAATGGACTACAATTTAAAAGGATATTAATAAAATGTTTTTGTTTAAGGTGTTCTAAATAATAGAAAGTCAGGAAATGTTCAGTTATGAGTTCAATACCATACATCTCTTTCCTGCTATACTCTTGGGCTGAATGAAAATGTTCATCGAAATTTTTAGGGGGAAAAAAAGAGGACAAATTTTTCACAAAAATGTTTGTGACATTGTGTCCTCCATTTATAAGCTTTAATACTTGCTCACCTTGCTACTACAAGTCATGCTCGGCAATTCTCTAATTTTATATAGCTTTTATACCATCTAAATGTTTTATACAACTAAAACATTATACTGGAATTCATATAATCAACTGGGCAGTTGAAATGTAACCTTTAAAGAAAATTTCTTTGTGCGCCTTTTGATATTCTTTCTAATGTATAATGTGATGGGTTGGATCACAGAAACCCCCTTGGGGCTGCCAACTGATGTGCCAAGACTACTTCTGCCCCTGCTTTCCCTGCCAGCTTGGAACTCCAGCACCCTATCTTGTTGAGCCAGACATGCCAGTCTGCTCCAGCACAGACCCAGGGTCTGAACCACCTGCCCCAAAGCTGCAGACTTAACTGAAAGCAGCTTAAGAAGTGTTCCTTTTTTTAACACTCAGATGCCCAACTCCTCATGGGGTCCAAACCCCAAATAAATCTGTTTTATCCTGTATAAAGCTTATACAGGGTAAATTCATAAATTGTTCACCTTCTATAACACCAATAGAGAGAGATGCACAGCTGTTTGCCCCCTCCCCCAGTATTAATACATACTCTGGGTTAATTAATAAGTAAAATGTGATTTTATTAAATACAGAAAGTAGGATTTAAGTGGGTCCAAGTAGTAACAGACAGAACAAAGTGAATTACCAAGTAAAATAAAATAAAATGCGCAAGTCTAAGCCTAATACAGTAATAAAACTGAATACAGATAAAATCTCACCCTCAAAGATGTTTCACTAAGTTTCTTTCACAGACTGGATGCCTTCCTAGTCTGGGCACAATCCATTCCTCTGGTACAGCCTTGTTCCAGCTTGTTCAGGTGGTAGCTAGGGGATTTCTCATGATTGCCGACCCCTTTGTTCTGTTCCACCTACTTATGTATCTTTTGCATAAGGCGGGAATCCTTTGTCCCTCTCTGGGTTCCCACCCCTCCTTCTAAATGAAAAAACACCAGGTTAAAGATGGATTCCAGTTCAGGTGACATGATCACATGTCACTGTAAGACTCCATTATCCACTTGCCAGCACACAGGTATACAGGAACATTTACAATTAAAATAGAGCCATCTACAGTCAATTGTCCTGGTTAATGGGAGTCATTAAGATTCCAAACCACCATTAATGGCCCACACTCTGCATATCTACAATTGGACCTCAGAGTTATATTTCATATTTCTAGTTTCAGATACAAGAGTGATACATTTATACAAATAGGATGACCACACTCAGTAGATTATAAGCTTTGTAAAGATACCTTACAAGAGACCTTTTGCATGAAGCATATTTTAGTTACATTATATTCACACTCATCAGCATACTTTCATAAAATTATATAGAGTGCAACATCACAGAGGGACTCTTTTTTTTTTTTGGTATTAGAAATATTATCCCTCTTCTCCTATACTCCATTCCAGCAAAAACAGTGTGAATTGATAGGGTTCATCACAAAATGCTACAGATTCAGAAGTGAGCAATAGAGAGGAGAATTGATTTTTGAGAAGAAATAGTTGGGAATTTTCCATCAAATTGTTTTTTGAGGACAAATGCAGCTTCCACAAAATCAACATTT